AAATGCGAGGATGAGGAAAGTGGGCATGGGAGGGGGAGGGGCAATGGAGGACCAGGGTTTGGTTTCCCTTTTGCCTTCCATTGGAAGGTGGTGTGTTAGCCCTGTCGCCCATGTATGCAGAAAGGAGTAGTGATTAAGATACTCCAAAGCAGTAGGCAGTCCCCCAAAAGGGTGTATTTGGTTTTTAAATGAATCATTATTTCATTGGAAATGTTTGGTTTCCCAATTCTGTTTGCCAATAGCCAGTATAATTGTGGGATGGCACTTAGCCAGCACACACCAAACAGAAGTAGATGGAGTCCCACTCTGTGAGTGGGACCTTGGGAAGAAGTTGCCTCCATCATAAAGGGAATTTGGGGTACAAGATGGTTTTAAAGGCTTTTCTGGCTATAGTTCTTGAGGTGGCCCAGAACCTTCTCAGCAAATATATTAGTTCTTTATTGCTGTATAACAAACCACTTCAGAACTTCAGCCTAAAACAATCACAATTATTGATATTGCTCATGAACATGCAATTTGGGCAAGGCTTGGTAGGACAGGCTCACCAAGGTCCAAGAGGCATCAGCTGGGGTGGTTCCACAGGGCACTGAAGGAGCCATTTCCAAGATGGCTCAGTCAGGTGGCTGGCAAGCTGCGACTGGCTGTCAGCTAGGCACTCAGCTGAGGTGAGAGCTGGGGGTCTTGGTTTCTCTCTGTGTGGCCTGGGCTACTTTACAGCATGGTGCCTGGGTACAAGAGAGAGCCAAGCAGAAGCGGCATCATCTGTTATGACCAAGCCTCAGAAGTCATGCAGCATTACAATTGTAAGCACTCCAGTCACTAGAAAGGAGTCACCAAAGCCAATCCATATTCCAGAGTAGAGGAATTAGACTCCACCCCTTGATGGGAGGAGTGTCAAAGAGTGTGAGAACATGTTTTAAAACCACCTCAGCAAATGATACCTCTGATGTCCACCCTCATGTTGGGTACTATCTCTGACGCCTCCTTTTTTTCTTGTCCTCCTCCCTCATTCAACCAATCTCCAAGATTGGTAGATTCTACTATCGAAAATATCTTCAAATTTTTTCATTCTCTCATCTCATACTTGGACCACTGCATCATCCTGACTGACCTTCCTGCCTTCCACTTTTCCTCCTGTGACATTTAGGTTTACGTTCAGTTGCACGTACCAAAAAAATTCAAGTAACAGTGGCTTAAACAAGATCAGCATATACGTCTATTTTACATAAGAGAAACTGATACATAGCTGACCAGGGCTGATATACTGCCTCCATTATTGTCAGGAATCCAGACTACTTTCATTTGGCTGCTCCACAACTGTTAACATGCCCTGGTTCAAGCACCAGCCATCGCTTCCATGTTCCAACTAGAAAACAAAAAGGAGAGAAAAAGGATACACCCTCTCCCTTTAAGGACCCTTCCCAGAAAGTTCTGCTTATATCTCTGTTGACCAGTACCTGGTCACATTACCACACCTCGCTGCAAAGCCAGTTGAGAATGGAATCTTTATTGTGGGCAGCCATATGGCTCACTAAAATTCAAAGGTCAATAACTAGCAGTATTGGCTACATTGCTCTGAATTTATTCTCCACACTGCACCTACAATCATTTTCCTAAAATGTATATCTGAGCATATCACTCCCCTGCTAAAAATGACTCCAATGGTCCTCCTATTTGAGCCTCTTCTGTATCCACTCTCACTAGTGACACTCTTTCAAGGAGTACTAACCTACTTGTCACTTCCAGCGTAGTCTCTCTCCTCTCAGAGTTTTTGCATGTACTGTCCCTTTGCATAAAATGCCCTCCCACCCTATTTGCAGGTTCACTCTACCCATGCTCCTGGCTTTAGCCTGTATTTCACTGTCTTCCGAGAAGCCTTAGAGGGGTCCATGAAAATGTTTTCATTTCATTTAAAAGCAGAGGGGGAAAAAAACTAAACTTTTAGGTCCAAGAAAATGTTGGAATATAAAATAATAATATATGTGTCTTTATACCAATGCAATTGCAAAATATCATTTTAAATATGTTTTTATAGAGGAAACGGCCCATGAAGGTAAAAATACTGAGACCTACAAGAGTTATAATGTGGCCCTGTGCCCGTGGTGTCCCATAGCTCCCTGACTTCACCCCAGTCATGATTCTCCCTGTACCACATTGTAACTGCTGGGCACTTGACAGTCTCTCCAACCCGACAGGCCCTGGGAGAGCAGGGTCTGCTTGGTACCCCTTCATATCTGCAATGACCAGAATACAGTCTCGTCCTTGGTAAATTCTCTGCAAACATTGGTAGATGAATGAATGAATGAGTGCCCTGATCTCAGCTAACTTCAGGGTTCCATCCCCAGTAAAGGTAATGATGCAGGCCTTGCCTGTCTACAGCCACTTCTCACCTGGTGTACTGTCTTGGTAGAAATATTAGGTATATGTGACCTGGGGCAACTCACTTAATTTCTCTAAATATCAGTTTTGCCATCTATAAATTGGGAGCAATAATAGTACCTAACTCTTTAGGTTCTTGTGTGGAGTAAATGAAAGAATATACTACCTGTGAGGGGCTTAGAACAGTTCTTGTTGTATAGTAAGCAATAATTATCACTAATTATTATGGCTGTTGCTATGGCCACGTCATGTCTTACCTCTCCCAGAGGTATTTTCATTTAAGAGTTGGCTCTTGAATAAGAGAAGAAGAAATTACTTACCTCCCTCACTGCCAGTGGTTATCTATAATGATGGAATTTCAGGCTGTGTAGGAAAGAACATCAGAAGCAAAAAGAGCTTCTCATAACTTCCAATCATCTTCTATGGTCTCCACCAGGGCAGCTTGTGGGGCTGGGGGTGGGACTGGACCTATTATTACAGGGGGGAAAGCATGGATATTAGAATACAACAGATTGGGTTCTGTCTCAGGCTGCTATAACGGACTACCACAGACTGGGTGGCTTAAATAACACAAATTTATTTTTCACAGTTCTGGAGGCTGGGACATCCAAGATCAAAGTACCAGCCAATTTGGTTCCTGGTGAAGGCTCTATTCCTAGTTTGCAGATGGCTATCTTATAGTGTCTTCATGTGGTGGAGAGCAGAGAGAGAAAGCAAGCTCTTTCATGTCTCTTCTTATAAGAGCATTGGTCCTGTCATGAGGGCTCCACCCTCATGACCTAGTTACCTCTCAAAGGTCCCATCTCCAAATATTATCACATTGGGGATTAGGGTTTCAACATATGAATTTTGGGAGAGACACAAACATGCAGGCTATAACAGGTTCACATCCCGAATCCAACCCTTCAACTTTACTGACACTCTGCAAACTTCCAATTCCTCAGTTGCAAAACGAGGCTCATAACAAGACCCACCTTGTGGAGTGCCCAGGAGGATTACATGAGCACATGAAATACCCAGCCCACTGCCTGGGTCTCCTCTATTCTATAAAATTCCCAAAGGATGGAGCATACATGAATGGGACACTCACAGGGGTGTAAAAATGGAATGTTCCTTAATTTTCTCTCCCTGAGCTGAGCTCTTGTGTTTCCACTCCTCTGGTAAGTGGAAAGCATCATCTACACACTGTCAGGCAACCTCGGTCACATCGCAGTGTTCCCAGTCACTTCAGAATCCTAACCAGCCCCCTTCCCTTCCTGGGGAGTCCAGGACCTCATCCAATGCCCAGGGCCTAGTAGTTTGACAAGCCCACGCTGGCCTCTGCCAGTCTGTTCTGGTCCTCATCCGGAAGCAGGAGCATACTCTGCCCAAGGCCATGGTCCAGCTGTGGCTCTGTGGTAGTGTGACCAAGCATCTCGGTTTCCCACTTTTAGCACTGAAAGGACCATGTCCCAGGATACCCTCAGTCTCAGGCAAACCAGGATGGTTTGACATCCTACAATGTTGGCCTGTCCAGGCCTTATCCAAACTCCAAGCTCCAACTTTGAGCCTCGCAGAGGTCTTTCCACCCTCCTGGGTTCCCACTGGGGAGACTGAGGGCTGCTGCCCTGCTCCATGCTGGGGTGCCCAGGGCTCTGGAGACTACCCTTAGCCAGATATTGTTCTAGTATTTTACATCTACTAACTTATTTAATTCTCAAGACCTCTTAGGGTGCTGTTACTGGCAATCTCACTTTAGACTGGAACCTGAGGTACAGAGAGACTAACTAACTTATCCAAGGTCACACAGCTAGCTGGCACCTGTGGAGCCTGGGATGAATTCTGGCAGACTGGCCCCAGGGTCCTCTTCTTAACTATGTTTCTTTTCTTTTATTAGTAGGTTCATTGTTTTTGCTCAACATGAGGAGAAAGGTGTCGGAGAAGGCTAGGTCATGGAAAGTAAACATAGGTCCATATCTCCCATTTTTATTCCAAGAAAAACAAAGCAGCACATATAAAGATGATCACATGTAGTATCATAAGTGTGGTGACATCCTAGTGAAATGGTGGAAGGAATCAAAAAGGCCAATCAAACAGGGCTGAGCTGATTAACTCAGCCTGAAATCAGCTCTGTGCGGAAGAGCAGGGTGAGCGCGTAATGATGGGTGGGTAGGCAGACAGAGACTCCAAGACTCTCACTGCCTGCTGGGGGTGCCCAGCCTGCTCAGTGCCCTCCGCCCCTTCCCCCAGGACTGTTCAGGCCCTTCTCCTTGGCTTCCGGAGCATCCCCTCCCCACCCTTCTCCTCAGCTCCCGAGGCTCTCCTCCCCTCTCCCTGCACCTCCTACTCCCATCGCCCTTCTGAGTAGCTTGCTTGGCCCCCTCCGGCCCGGCGCCCAGAGGTGCTCTGCCCTCCTCTCCACCCTGAGGGTCTTCTCCCTCCTCCTCCCACCCCACCCCCAGTCGTGTTCAGTCAGCTTCCTGCACCCTTCCCCCTGCCTGGGGTCTATGCCCCCGGACCCACTTGGCCCTCCAACCCCAAGATGACGCCATCAGCAGGGCCGCCCAGTGCCCTGTCCTGCAGGCCCCTCCACGAGCGTTCAGCACTCTTTGGCGTATCTCTCACCACCACCCCCCTCGCAGGGCCTGCCCAGCCCCCTCCTGCGCTGCCCCTCACAGCGACTCCTGGACCGCGTAGTCCGGCGCTACGCCGAGGTGGTCGACGCCGGTAGCATCTTCATGGACCACTTCACAGACCGCGACAAGCTGCGTCTGCTCTACACACTGGCTGTCAACGCGCATCCCATCCTCCTACAGGTACACAGAGACCCCAGAAGGCCCCTCCAGGGAGGACATTCACGTTAGACTCCAAGGGGGGGATGCCTCGGGTTGAGCTCTCTCTCCCTTTACTGCTTGCCTTGGGGCCACCAACTGATGTTAGTACCTTTGCGGCATTCAGTCAATACACTTGGATTCTGTAGGGGCAAAGTGCTGTGGTTGCTGTAGAGAAAACAGGTATGAGAGCCAGTAGGAGGACAACAGCCACCTTCACTGCCTGTGGCAGCACCGAAGGGCTCTGTGAAGGAGGGCAACTCTGACCTGTGCCTCAAAGATCAGTAAGACTTGAGCAAACCCAAGTGGTAGGGAAATAGCCAAAGACTGATCCCTGAGAGATGTGGTTGGAAAGAAGAAAAAAAAACTGTAGGTAACCTAAATGTCCAGCAATAGGGGAATGGTCAAATAAATGAAGGTGTACTAGAGCCTAGAGATACACTGGTCAACAAGACAGGACAGAAGAGCGAGGAGAGAGGCTCTGGGCCAGTACAATGATTCCCAAAACTCATGTCACTCAAGGGGAGCCTTCATGATTCTTGGCCTATTGCAGAACCTGGTGCCTGCACTGTTGTTTTTAAAAATATTTTTCTCTAAATCAGCCTTAAGTTGACCCTGTTTTTCTCCCCATGGCCTCTTCCTAAGCAGTGATATCTGTTAAATCTCAAATACTAGTCATATTTTTTCAACTACAGACTCTTAAAATAAACACATTCCCCTGAATCTGAATCCTGTCTAAAATCCTGGCAAGTGCCTTAGCATTCTCATACCTCGCTTGGGGACACTCTGTTGAAATGCAATCCACTGCATGGAAATAAGAGCTTCCTGTTCCGAATCTCTTCATTTAAAAAGGAGCTGGGGGGAGGGGGAGGGATTGTCCTTTTCCAAGAGGTATAGAAAATGTTGAGTGACACTTTGCTGATATGTTTTGAGATGGAAGGTGCCTGTTTAAGGCTGATCTTTCTGTGCGCTTGCACTGAGAGGCAGAGAGAGAGGGGGGAGAGAGAGAGAGAGAGAGAGAGAGAGAGCTGTCTCTGTGAGTGTTTTTCTCCCTAATCCTCCAATGCCTCCCCCTCCCGGCACGGCAGATCTTTCCTGGCGCTGAGGGATGGCCGCTGCCCAAGTACCTGGGCTCCTGTGGCCGATTCCTGGTCAGCACCAGCACCAGCCCGCTGCAGGAATTCTATGGTGCCCCCCCGGACCAGGCGGCAGACTTGGCCTACCAGCTCCTTGGGGTCCTGGAGTCTCTGAGGAGCAACGATTTGAACTACTTCCTCTACTTCACCCATGTGGATGCTGCTATGTTTGGCATCTTTAACAACGGGCATCTGTTCATCCGGGATGCCAGTGCCCTGGGCGTCATCGACAAGCAGGAAGGTACTCAGCATGGGCCCGGCTGAGCAGCTGTCAGAGGGGAAATCGGGGTGACAGGAGCTTGGAAATGTGACTGGGGTAGCAACATTGGGCCTTTTCAGTCTCCGGGTGTCACAGTGAGAGCAGCCCAAGTTGTGTCAAATGTGCCTCTCCCCCTTTAGAGTCTCTGCTCCAACTCTATCGCCAAAGGGGAACTGGCATTGACCTTGTCCATGGGGGGCATTCTGCATGGTGGCATGGCCCCAAGGGCACTGTTGCTGTCCAATTTTGTCTGTGTCGTCTGAGGACCGGCCCTGCCTCTCCTCACACACACCACCCCCAGATCCATGTCCCTCCCTGTGCCTTTCTCATCAGATGCTTTCAGCCTTCCTCTGAAACTTAACTATCTGGCTGATTCACTCGTACATTTTGCAATCCATTTTGGCACCTTTGTTTTTTATAAAGTTTACATTTAAAAGCATGGCACCGCATGAAGTATATGAGCGAATCGTGTTTATCACTGTGTGCACAGACTCATCTGGGGTCCTGGAGCCCTCTGAACATCCCAATCCTTAACGGTGACCAAATGTTCTGAGCCCAATATTAGGACAGAGGATTTTTAATATGAGAAGGCCTACAAAGATAGACCAATTAAACCAAATTACTCATTTCATGGTTCGCCTTTATTAGAAGAAATGGGGCTGATGCTAGAATATTCAGAATATGTACTCCACTAAATGTCAGTCCCACTACAACCCATTGAACGCGTATTCTAGATTACCTGTTCTCTCTCCTGACTTTGTATTTAAAAAGGGCAATGAAACTGGTCCTAGTAATTTCCTGAGTTCCCTAACTCAGTAATAAAAATGGGGGAATAGCAATATGGAAGTGAACCCTACAATTATAAGCCCAACTTCTGCTAGGGAGATGTGCGATTTCCATGCCCAGGCCTCAGCCTATTGTAGCAAAGAGAGTTCCTCCCATGTTGTTCTCAGCACGGTTCATGGTGTCCCTGAGCCCTAAATCTCCTGGTGACAGGAGATGCTAGGAGACCAAACCACTTTGCCCAGCGATTCTAATTAGTGGCGCCTCCCCCAAGAAGAACAGGTTGTAGGGTGTATAACATTTCCTGTTTCCCTTCTAGGTAGTCAAACAGCTGCCATGGCAGGTGAGAATGAAGACATCTTTAGCTGCTTGGTTGCTGGCTGCCACGCTGAGCTGCCCTCCTGTGACACCATCCCTGAGAAGCAGAGCTTGGTGCTGGTGTGTCGGCAGGTGCTGCCTCAACTTCTCCAAGGGAAGTTCCTTTCCCCGGTGCAGGAGCAGATAGACGCCCTCCTTGTTCAGTGTGGGGAGGGCGCCCGCCCAGACCCTGAAGTCCTTGGGGCCGCGAGCCAGCTGAAGGACATCTTGAGACTCCTGAGAACCTGTGACCCCAGATTTGCCTACCGCTACCCAGATTGCAAGTATAATGATAGGTTCTGAGGGCTGGAGCCTGGCTGGCCTCTGGGGACAACATCCTCGGCTCTCCAGTCCCCGGTCGGGTTGTTGCAAAGTGGAAAAAAGCAGCTCCATTTTAGACATTAGGAGAAATGCACATTCATTTCCAAGGGACTGAGGAACATTCCAGCCATCAGAAAGCAGTTGTGCAACACGGTGTGGTTGCTCCCACTGGCTGGGACGTCACTGAAGAGCCCAGGGGTGAACACTCACTCAACCTCTGAGTCTCAGTTTCGTCTGTTCTCTGCCAGACTCTCAAGTTAGTGAAAGAAGACAGAGATGTGAAGGGCCAGGGGCCAGAGACATACGTTTCCTACCCATAGCCAAGGTAGCTATAAAGTGTGTTCCAAAAGTGTGCACAGGTAGGGCGACTGAGACAGAGCCGTGGAGGTCAGGGGGTTGGCATGAAGGGACGGCCATGGGAAGGTAAGGCCCCTGGCTAGTAGCACGTTAGACTTGGACAAAAAGGACTCCTTCCTGATCCCTGTGCCCCTATACTAGCCCTTCTGCCACACTCTCCACAAAACCCCAGGGTAAGCAGACTTTAGGCCAAGGACACAGAAGGACAGGACCATGCTCTGGGCTGGGTGCCTGGGGCCCCATACGTGTACAAGTGAAGCACCTCATGGTGTGGTAAGGAGCCAGGAATAAGAAGTGGGGTGAGGCTGGGAGTTAATGTGTTCATCCAGGTCCTCTGAGAAACACGTCAAGACAGGATGAACTGGGCAAGGATTGCGATAAGGACGATGCCTGTGTGGAAGGAAAGAAGAAGGGAGCCAGAGACGGTTGAGAGAGCTAGCAGGCTGGGCTGCAAGTCTGAGGCTGAAGGAGGGAGAGAAGGCCAGGGGGGAGTATCCTAGACTGCTCTCTGCACAATGGAAGGAAGCTTCAGCAAAGCTGTCAGAGTGTCCTCAAGCCACAGCCAGCCATCAGATGATCCCCAAGTCTCCCAAGAATGGGCAGCCCTTATACCCTTGCTGCAGGGAACAGCTAGTTGGAAGCATGCTTCTGACTAGCTGCAAAGACAGATTTCAAAGCGCAGTGAGGGGCACCTAGCCAGTTCTGCATCCTGGAGCAGGAGGTCTGTGAGTAGAACATTCTCATTGCAGCCACAGCCAGGACTAGGCCAGCTCTCTGCACACTGTGGCCACCAATGCAGGACTCTAAGGAGTCCAAGAATCTTCATTCAAATGTGGCCTTACAGGTCATTATAAAAAAATGTTTTCAATGTCAGCCAACAGAACATATTTTATCCAACCATTGATTAGTTTGTTTTATACCTTTAAAATATTTGGCCGCATGGTATATGGGCCTTCATGTACATTCTTGCCCCAGCCCCTCAAACATTAGTGGGGGCTCCTTGGACCTTTGCCTAGCCTCTCTCCCAGCCCTCTACTCCCGGAGACCTCTCAGTTGGCCTCTCTTTTCTACCTCCGAATCACCGCCTTTAGGTCACAATGCCTGGCTTAACAGGCTTTATACTGCAAATACGGAAACTGAGGCCCAGGGAGGAAGAGTAACTTGCTGGGATAGTTCCAGAACTCTTGCTACCAGTCTACACTCCTGTTGCCTCCCCCTTTAGCCTCTGACCCTCACCCTGGCCTACCCAATTCTGGTCCCTTCACTCACATTTAAAGCTGGGCCAAAAATGTCTTACTTTATGGCGCACTAGGTTGCCAGTGGGATTTGTCTTTTGACTGCTCCAGGCACTATCCCTGGGGCAGCCATGACAGTGAGGATGACAGGCACAAGCTTCTGGAAGAGTCTCAGGCAGTTGCCTTCTGACCTGGGCTGAACAGTGAATATTGACCACCCTTCCCAACACCTTCTTGTCAGCCTAGTGAAACTGCTTTTAGACTTCTGACATTCAGAACTGTGAGAAGATAAATGCCTATTCTTTCAAGCCACATACTTTGTGGTAATTTGTTATAGCAGCCACAGGGTGCCACATGTACCCCAAACTCCATCTTAGTGTCCGCTTCCAAAGAACCCAACCTGCAGTACTCCCTAACTCCAGTCTGTTGGATTCAAAAGCCAGACCTGACATGAAGTCAGTATGTTAGCATCTATACTCAAGGCTGAAGCTTGGAAGGTTCTGTTCCTGCACTTACTAAGTCTTGTGCATCATTTAAGACCCTGTCTGAAGTCCTACCTTGACCAGAAGCTTTTCCTGACAGTGCAGCCTCCAACAAGCCCTTTATGATTTCCATCTCTGTACCCTTCAACCACAGGTCTGTGTCCCATTTGAAGCTAATCCCAAGGGGTATTCCAGAGATATCTGTGCCCTACCTTCCCATCATGCTAGAGGATCCCTGAGGATGGTGGCAGCGGGGGGCGGGGGGGGGCCTCTGTGTTCCCATAGCAACCGGAACAGAACTGGGCACAGAGCAGGTGCTTGGAAAATGTTCTTGCTGATGATGACTGCATTCTTTAGCTCTTTTGTTTGCTGTTTTTCATACACCGTGTGCTATAGACTGAATGTTTATGTCTCCCCAAAATTCATATATTGAAATCCTAACCCTTAGGCGAAGATATTAGGAGGTGGGGCCTTTGGGAGGTGATTAGGTCATGAGGGTGGAGCCCTCATAAATGAGATTAGTGCCCTCACAAAAGAGGCCCCAGAAAGCTCCCTGGCCCTTTTTACCATGTGAGGACACATTGAGAAGGTACAGGCTATGAACCAGGAAGTGGGCCCTTTCTAGACTGAATCTGCTAGTGCCTTGATCTTGGACTTCCCAGCCTCCAGAACTGTGAGAAATAAATGTATGTTGCTTATAAACCACTCAGTTTGTGGCATTTTGTTCTAGCAGTCCAAATGTGCTAAGACACCATGGTGGTCATATACACAACACAGCCACTTCCTTGAGAACAGCTCTTTCCCCTCAATGACCAGAAGACAGGTGAATCAACACTCAAGAGACTTCAACCAGAACAAAATCATCATGACATATTCTCAGTCCTCTGCAATCTGACTGGACACTTTAGAGTATTGTTCTGAGTTTTGACAGCTACTTCCTTTTTGCCCACAGGACTGACTACATAATTTGTGGGGCCCAGTGCAAAATGAACATGTAGGGCCTCCTGTTCAGAATTGCAAGATGGGGACAATAGAGCACTAAATTAAGCATAGGCCCTGTGGGACTGCATATGTTGCATGCCCATGATTTGGCCCTGGGTGCTCGAGAATACTAATTCTCCTTAGACTCTGTATAGAGTGTTCTTGTGGTTTACTGGGGTCTAACTTGACCTCTACAATCAAGAAGAGTAGATGTGAGACCAGAGGAGACATATAAAATATTTAACAACCACCATGGCAAAGGAACTGACCTATGAGAACAGATCCCACTGACTGCAGCTACTAAGTGGGCATAACAACAGCCCTGTGGGCAAAGTCTTAACTTTTCAAATGAGGAAACTACTTCAAGTGATTTGATCAAAGTGACAATTTTTAGGTTTCCTTCTTTCCTGGTCCTCCCCTATAGCATCTGCCTTCTACCTCTAAGTGATTCAATGAGCCTGAACATTTCCCCTAGAGTTAAGACAAATGCTTTGTTGGATTTGTGGGATTTTCAGGAAAGATCTAGAGCCCTGGAATCAGACAGACCTGGTTTCAATCATGACTCTGCTGGCTACTGTGTAACCTTGGGCAAGTTGCTTAACATCTCTGAGCGTCACTTTCCTCATCTATAAAATGGGTAGAAAAAGCTTCACCCTCTCAGGGTTATTGTCCCATTTAAATAATACAGTGTCTCTCAAGAGCCTGACACATATGGGCATTCTGTATTTGAAGGCAAATGTAGGGAAAGAGCACAGGTTCTCCTGGCAGAAATGGCTCCTCACACAGCCAAGGTTGAGTGCTGCAGCCTCTTGGGAGGGACCCTGATCCCTGCCCCAAAACGGTACGCCATCCTGAGGAACCACCAGGATTCCATTGGCTGCTAGACGATCTGGCTTGGGCCATTTTCTTCCCTCCCGCTACCCAGACTCTGGGTTGATCGTGAATGGCAATTGGGCAGCCACTATACTTGCCTCCTCAGCGTGGCCCTCCACCAGGCCTAGAAGGGAATCCTCCTCAAGCACGTAGTGTTGGGGGCTTGGAAAGTTCAACTGCACACAGTATTGGAGAGAAATGAGGAAGCCATTTCTTGGCCCATTAAAAGCTCCAGGTTTACTGCCTGTTGCTGGTCATGTGGCTTTTCTGGCCACTTCAGGCCTGTTGCCCACATATATTGGCACATCTGGGTTCACATGCACACAACTATACTCTGGTCTGCCTACAGCTCTTTATGACATTGTTTAAGAACAGTTGCAGTTGTAGGTTGTGTAGGCGGGTCAACACCCAATGCCAGGGTCTCCAAATTTGCCAATACTGTGACCCTCCAAGAAGGAAACTGAGAAGAATTGACCAACAAAGGGCAACTTGGAAATCAGTTCAAGTGGCCTGCCCATTGGAGCTCTTTGTAGAAGCAGACAAGGAGAGGAAGCACTCCTGTCCCACTAGGGTGACCAGGGTAGGTCTCAGGCCTGGGCTGTGACTGTAGAGGCAGTGTGGCAGTGCAGAGAGAGCAGTGGCTCTGGAAGCAGACACATCGGCCTTCAGATCTTGTGCCAGCTCTCTTGCAAAAGCAGTGCATCAGAGTTATTTATCTCAGCATTGTTTGCAATTGCAAATGCTGGAAACAACCTAAATGCCCAAATATGGGTGAGTGGTTGAATAAATTGTGGTGTATCCACACAACGGAGTACTATGCAGCTCTGCAAAATAAATGAGGAAGATCTCTATGAACTGACATGGAACAATTTGCAGGATATACTTCTAAGTGAGGAAAAAAGAGCAAAGCATGAGGGTATTTATAGGATGCTACCTTTCATGTAAGAAAGAAGGTTATACGAGAAAACATGTATCTGCTCATTAGTGATGAAAAATATATATATACTTTTTCATCACAAATATATATATGGAGAAAGAGAAAGAGAGAGAGAGAGAGAGAGAGAGAGAGAGAGAGAGAGAGAGAGCATAAACCAAAAGCCCAATGAGATTGGTTACCTATAGGGAGTGGGTGAGAACAGTCAGAAAGAAGGGAGAAGTGGGAATGGGGTAGTAGGGATGAGGAGCAAGTGACATTTGTCTGACTATACCTTCTTGTATAAGTCTGAGTCTTAGAATCATGGGAATGTCTCACATAGCCACAAATACATAATTAAGATCATCCAGGACATGGGTCAAACTAAAATGAAATACAAACAACAACAAATGGATCTAACTGGATTGCAAATAAAGAAGATAACTACACTGAAAAACTAACCAAAGCAACTTGGAAAGGAAGCATTTTGACTACATAGTATAAGGCTAAAAACAAAAAAGAACTGTACACACACTTTAAAATGGATAATTTTATGTTATATGAATTTCACCTCAATTTAAAAAGAACCAAAGACAAAAATTGTGCTCTAGTTAGTAAATATTTTTCCCATGGGAATCTGGGTTAGCAATTCTGAAGCTACTTTAAGTGTTAAGCAAGTAAGGAAATATATTGTGGATAATAAGAGAGGCTTCTTATTGTTGGAGAAAGAAGTTACAAGTAAGGAAAGAGGAAAGACAAAGTTGAACCCTGTGGTGTTAGACTAGAATTGGAGGTATCACTCTGCACTTGGGATTTTATATAATGATAGATAGATAGATAGATGATATATATAGATAGATAGATAGATAGATAGATAGATAGATAATAGATAGACAGATAGATAATAGAGAAATAGAAACAGATGTGAATGTATAGAAACATATTTCCTAGCTTTGTCTCTGAGAGGGCCTACAAGCAGTGACATCTCAATACCCAGTGCCCAGGTCTTGGTTTCTCCAATAAAAGAAACCAGACCTCTTTGGGAAAATGGCTGATTCCAAGACTAGGAAAGAAAAAGTACTAGATGAGCCTGGACTAATCTTGTGTTGCCAGAAAAGAAGGAAGTTCTCAAAAAACTTTGGGAGCATGTCAAAAGGACATCGCAGCCAACTTGAAGGGGGTCCCAATCACCAAATGTGGGACAATTTGAGCTACCAAATAATGATAGTAATGGGTTACAATCCATAGAATAAAATAAATTCTTATGAGACCATACTGACATAAGTAAATAACCAAATAAATAAATAAATGAGGGAGGCAAGAGTTCTTTTCTACAGTAGAATCCCAATTAATAAATGTAGACCAAATGATGGGAGTAGAAAATAACCACTTGGCAAGCATGACAGTAATAATTGTTGCAGGCAAGAAACATCAATAGGCACTAAAACTAATAGATGAAAGTATGTGAAATAAGATCTTTGCATAGTCTCAAATTATCTTGCCACAACATACTTACTAATTATGAAGGGGAAATAGTAACTTTATGGTGAAGAAACCTGACAGACATGACCTTAACCAAGTGATCAAGGTCAATATCAGTGGTGACAAGTCATATTGACATTGTGTACCCACTGATATGATGCACGGAGAAGAGCACAGGGTATTCTTGCCCAAAATACAGAACCTCAACTGAATCATGAGATAACATCACACAAATTGAGGGACATCCTACAACTAGCCATGAAAAACCAAAAAAAAATGTCTAAGGAATTATCACAGATTGGAGAGGACTAAAGAGACAAGAGAATTATATGCAATGTGGGGTCCTCGATTAGTGGTGTCAATACCCACCATCCCAATACCACCAGGAACACACCCATAGTTGAATAACTTGAGTTTATTGACTATCACAACAAGAAAGAAAGCACACCATGGAGCAACATGAGAGGTCTCAGTGAAAGGAGGTTAAGAAAAGACTTCTTTGAGGACTGGGGCTTGTTAGGTGCTTTGGGGGAGGGTTCGAGGAAGCAGGGCCTTGCTCTCGATTTGATGCTGTCAGGAAGTGGCAGTAAATCATGATTCTACAACTCAATAAGTCTTATCTATAGGGCAGAAGGGATGAATCAGTCTAACGATGTACACGTGCATAGTTAGTAAAGTAGCAGTCACTCATGTTAGCCAGGTCACAGGGAGGCTTGGTCATTTTTGTTTAAACAATGTTCATGTTGTTTGTGTTCAGACATGAATATGAAGTGACTTTGTTTTGTCTTGATTCATCGTGGTCATAGAGTGGCCTTGTTTGATGCTAGTGATCCGTGAAATTGTTTCTGTTCAGGGAGAACACAAAGACCCAGGTGTGAGAGCCTGTCCCGCTCTGAGCAACACCAAAGGGAAGGCCCGACAATGTCGGGCCAATTCCCAGCTACATGGGCCACTCCTCTCTTTCTCAGTGAGACAATTGGTGAAACTCCAGTAAGGTCTATTAGATCAGTACATAGCATTTTATCAATGTTAATTTTTTTTTT